GCGCTTAGTCACTCGCGGGATTCGGATAGGGGGGCAGCAAGTCTTTTCTGAAAAAACTCGCAGTTCTACCCCTATATATATATATTATTTTTTAGATACTAACTCTTTGGTTGGATCGGACAGGGACTTCTATAAAGATCTTTCCACTCATTCATCATACTCAAAGTCGAAGTCACGGCCGGCATGGGGGGCTCGGAAAAATAACGAGAATCACAAATATTTTACCTCTGAACAAATTCTTTTTTTCTTACTACATATTATATATAAAACGGACAGTACTCAAGGGAGCATAAGGATGTTGTATACTCCTTTAATACAACCTTAGGGTCGTAGGACTTCATATATCCAAAAGGTTCATAATTTCAATTCACTAGTATTTTCATACCAAGTTAGTATCATATAGTATTAATTTCTCCAAAATGAAAATAAATTTAAAAAAAAAATCTTAATTGAACAAGAAAGCCAATGTAATTCAATTTTAAATTATCGAGATAGATTACAAAATTTCAAAATTTAAAATACATGATCAAATGAAATTCTGGATAAAATACGTGGGATAAATGTAAAGAATAAAGATTAAAAATCTATTAGTTTTATTAATACAAGTTTGGCAATATTTTTTCCACCGCATTAGGGCAGCTAAGAGGAGAAAAAGCTCCATAACAAAAATTCTTTCCCTCCTCTCCTGGATTGGCACCCGATTTCACGACAACAAAGCATTGATATTGAAAAGCCCTTCGCTGAGGAGGAGATTTGGAGAGCCGTCAAAATATGGGGTCTAACAAGTCTTCAGGACCGGATGGTTGAGAGTGTTCCAAGATTTTTTTAGGACCGGAGTCATGAATGCAAGCCTAAATGAGACGTATGCTTACCTCATTATCCCCCTTCCTTTTCATTATGGTGGTGGATGTGTTTAGTAGATTAACGTCCAAGGCAGCCAGCTCCAATCTCATTAAAGGGTTTGACCTCGGCAACAATTCTTTGGAGATTGCAATTTGTCAATATCCCCATCCCTACCAAGTGGTGTTTTCACAACCAACTCCCTCACCAAGTACCTATCTTCCCACTTATCGAGTTCTCCTCCCATTTGGAAGGATCCCTATCCAAAAAAGGTAAAATTTTTCCTGTGGAAATGCAGCCACCAAGCTATAAGCTCCAAAGAAGACAGTCTTACAAATCTATTTCTCCACATTGCTGGATTCATTGTAAACAAGCTTCAGAAGCACAACACCACCTATTTATCACTTGTTCATTCCCATTGAGATTCTGGAATTTTCTGTTAAAAACATTTGGATGGTATCCCTTCCCTTTTGGAAGCCATTACATGCTACAAAACACCAAAATCAGGTCGGAATGCTTCCTCAACACAGCATAAATCATGCTTCAATCTCATTTTTTCTATCACCATTTCACCAAGATACTGTATATTATATGTAACAATATCTTTATAATAAAGAAATTCTATAATATGAAGAATTTGTATTAAAAATTTTCAAATATGGACCAAAATTATCCATTTTTAAAAGTATAAACAAACATTTGAAAATATACTAACTAAAATAAATCAAAATTGAAAAACATGCAACAATGGAAGCTAAAAATATAAATTAAAATATTATTTTAACAATTTTTTCAAGAAAAGATGGTTGGATTTAATAATTATATTTAGTTAAGAGTCAGTAATTTTATATATATTGAATGATATTCCCTAATGAATTGTGCATATATATTTACTTCACTCTCACCAATTGAAATGTGATCTACTGCATTAATTAAGAAACGTGAAAAACTGTGAGAGAGAAAAGTAAAAAAGAAGAAATACATAAAAACTCTCAGAGAGATGTTGTAAGACTTTTGAAATTCTCCAGACTTAAATAGATGACAAAATTTTTCGATATTCTAACATTTTAAATGCAAAAATTGAGTTAATTTGAGTTTTGGATTTAATAACTGAAGTAATTTTTTTTTTAGACAATATTAATCTTGGCGTTTTTGATAATGTAAATAGAGGCAAAAGAAAAACATGCTAGAATAAAAATTGCGAGATTAAATAGTTAATCTTTTATTAAAAATATATTTATTTTGATTGATTGGGTAATAATAATTTTGAACTTCATAAGATTAGAATAAAAAAAACCTGACTATGAAAAGTTTTGTTTGTTTCTAAAAATTAATAAAAAGACTTAAAATTGGAATTTAATTATAATTAGAACTTTAATAGTTATAACTTTTTTTAACTTCTACAACTAGATAAAAATCCTCTTTTTGCATTTCTCAAAAAAAAAAATCCCCTTTTTGCCTTTTTTTTCCTACAAAAATTTGGTCTCTCTTCCTTACTCAATTTTCTTTTTCCTTAAATTAAAAACACTTACCAATTTCTCATGCAAATATTTTGGAGTTACCTTAGGATTGAAAATATATATTTAATTAGTTTAACTTTTTACTATTTTTTATTTAAAAGTATGTATGATTACAATTTTTTTCAGAAAATTGATTATACTTCTTTTATGAAATACCTACAATATTTCTAGCATATATATTTTTTAAAGTTCAGATAATTTTAAGCTTAGTTTTGAAAATAAAAATATATTTTTATCGTTTTTTTTTAATTCCACAATTTCTTATCTCACTTACCATGAATTTTCTATCGTTATTTTATTTATAATTCTAGTAGATTCCATCATTCTCTCTCATTCTTCTTTTTATTATTTTAAATTTTTATCAAATTAATTACTTCAACTTTATATATGTTCCTATTTTGGCACATTTCGATCATCATCAAAGATTAATTTTATAAAAATGCAGGCAGAAGGAAACGTAGACCAATAAAACTCCATTTTGAGATGTTTGCATCTCTTTCAAGAACTCCCAGCATCTTAGTCAGAGCAACACCCCAAACCTCTAATTTTTTGTATCCCCTATTTTCTCCCAAGATCTGCGATGTGTTTAATTCACAATATCCAAGAAAAAATCCTTGATTTTGCTACATTTCTGAACTAAATCTGGTTTTCAATTAATTCTATGTTAACAGTGCATCAAAAGCTTTCAACAGAACAATCGCACGGAAAAGAAAAGGCACCCAGAAAATCTTTTGAGATGAGATGATGTTCACAACAAGACATGCACAGATCGAAGAAAATTTGGAGAGGGATGATGAACAAGGAACCATCAGAAACACCAATTTCAGCTTTCAGCTAAGTTAATTCGGCAAAATCTGAATCTTAAAGGTCGTGAGTTCAAATCCCACGGTTTAAAAATAAATAAATAAATAAATAAGAGAAGGAACCATCAGAGACCAAAATTGATCCCCAGAAGCTTAGAGCTGTACGGTCCGCATCATGGTTGCGACTTCCTAAGAAGACGCCCATCATTTGGTTCCTTAATTTCATCTCAAAACCATTCAAATTCAAGATCAAACGCTGTTCGATTCAAGAACAAGAAAACTTTGGAAATAAAATCGAGAGAAAAATAAAGTATAGAGGATTAATCGTAGAAAAGAAGAAGCTCAGATTAATGGGTTGAGAGAAACTTATCAGCACAGATTGATTTGAAAATCATCAGAGTGGTGCATGACAATCTCAGATCCTCATCCCCGCCGCAACTTTTCTTGTGATTCTAGTTGAAAAATGAAATAAATGAACAAAAAAATACAAATACAAAACAGAAGAAATTTCGAAGAAACAAGAAGGGAAGGTGATGCCGAGCGATACGATTGATGAAGGTTACGGCTCCGATGGTTGTTGTTATATAGGCGTCAGAAGGAGAAACCCTAATTTTGTTAGCCTATTTTACTATTTTACGCCGATAGTTATTTGTAAATTACGTTACTGCCATGGGATAGGGGCTCGTGAGTAAGCAAGTATATTTAAAAAGAATAGATTAAAATCCTACTTCATTAGTCTTTGTATCCTCGAAATGTTCTTTTTTTCCATATATTTTTAACTTTATTCTGGTATTTTTAAAAGATTTATTTTAATCTATGTGATTTTAAAAAGATCCTTTTAGTCCGTTGGTTTTATTTTTAATCTCATTTTCTTTCACAATTTTTATACAATATTACTATCATATATTTCTTAAAAGGTAAACATCATTTTATACTAAATAGTTTTTGTTGAATTTAAAATTTGTGTTTGTTGAGGGTAAAGTTGAGTAGGACACGCATCAGCAACTACGAGGCATAAGACCACATACAGTTTACCCGTCGTACATTGTGGTGGTAGGAGAGCACGCCTCCACTCCTACTATATGGGAAACACGTAAAGCATTGCGATCAGACAGCTACACGCGACAAGTTTCAGGCTTGCAGGCTAATCTTGCTAACTGCCGGCCCGGGGGGGCATACACTCCACGTCGCTGTACAGCTCGACGCACCTCTGCCATCCCAATTGTTGTTCTTCTATCCAAGCCTATAAGAAGGAAGGACTCTCACATTTGTGAAGTAAGTGAAAAACCTATCACTAAAATCGAATTTCTAACTTGAGCGTCGAAGTGTATTAGACGGGACACCATACCAACGTCGAGTTTTCTAGTTGCAGGTTCATTTGATCCTTGACGAAGCTACTTGTTCGAGGGACACATGTACATCTCCAAAATTTGCAAAAAATGAAAATCTAAAATGATCCATTTTAAAAAATACATGGACAACAACAAACATCTCGAGGACTAAAATGAACCAAAACTATTATAAGTATACAATGAAAATAGTGTTGAAAATTTACTAAAGAGCTTCAGTTACATGTAAAATTTTGCAAAAAAACAAACTAAAATTATCACTTTTTGTCGATTTAAGTTTAATTCGGTGGGTTAAGGTATATGTATCCAACTATTAGGGGGAGTACTCACGTATTAAAAAAATTAATATTATCACTGTTTAAAACGAAAATGAACATTTTTTTAGAGTATAAAAATTAAAATCAACTGAATAAAACTAAAAATAATATTTTAACAAAATAAAATAATAATAAAAGTAGATGGATATATAGTATTTATGGTATCCAATCGAACAGAGTAAGAAAAACGAAACCGAGGATGAAGATGAAGCTGAAGCTGAAGGCCATAGAAGCAACTCGAGAGAGCTTCGCAGAATACGGCCAAGTCGTGGAGGCCATGGACGATGGCGTCAATTTCGGACCCCTAGACGCGCAGTTGGACCTCAGCAATGGAACCCCTAGGTAAACAAATCTCCAAATCCTTCTTCATCGCTTCTCAATTCGCTTCTAGGGTTTTGAATCGGAACCTCACGAACAGGTTCTACATTCTCCACATCGAGAATCGCCCTTTCAATTTCTCTAAGATTACGCATCACGCAAAAGTGACGCAGTGCCTTGGATCGGTGGATAGGCAATCTTGGTATCTTGGAGTTGCCAAGCCATCGATTGTTGCTGATGGTGATGATGCTAACGAGAGATCTGTAAGATCGGGTTGTGGCCATTTGTTTGTGCCTCCCTCTGTTGATGAGATCCGAGTGTTTAGAATTTCAGGGGCTAAGTTTGTTAAGCTCCACAAAGGGACATGGCATGCTGGTCCTCTGTTTCGGGAAACCGCCAGAGATTTCTACAACTTGGAGTTGAGTAACACAAATGTGAGTTCTTCCCCCTCTCTCTTTATTTTCTGCTTGATGATCAATTGGAAGAAATTGGTTGGATTGGATTCTGATTATTGAAACTTCATCAGTTGGATTGGTTAAGAGCTAATTCTATTAGGTCCGGTATTTTTTGTTTCTGTTTCCTCTTTTTTAACCAAGAAAAATAATAGGATTGTATGGCTCCAAAGTTAAAAGAAAAATAGGATTGTATGGCTCCAACACCCGTAAATTCAACTATTTATGTTTTTGGAACAAATAGGAAATAGGAACAGAAATTTGTGTTCGTTGTTTCCAAAATTTTTATAAGAATATTTCTAGAAAAAAATAGAAAGAAAGAAAATAAATAGTTGTGAAATACTTAGTTTCTTAGTAAAATTGATGAAAACAAAAAAAGGGGCCCTTAATTACTTTCCTAGAGAACTTTTGGTCGACCCACAAATATTAGACTTTTCTTAGAAGTTAAATGAGAGATTTAGTAAGGCTTTTTAAAGGATTAAGTGGAAACACTAGAGTCATGTATAAAGTTTCTGTTTTTAGTTTTCTCACAAAGTATTTTTGATATGTTTTTAACTTTTTAAGATATTATGTTTGAATTCTTAGCTAAATTACAAAGCCTCCTAAAAGTTAGGGATAGAATAAGTGTTTTGAAGTCTTAAAAACTTTGAAATCTTAGCAATTCAACCATTTTAGTTTGATTACTGTTGTTCTGTTTGATTCAAGATCATTTTATTTTAAGCGACTGAAAGCATCTCTGTTTTGATACAATTTCACAGCAAATTGCAGGCGGTGGTGGCAAAGAAATTGTACTTTTAGATATCATTTGTAGTTTCACTTAATAGAAATAATGTATCTCAACCAAATGTAGTAGGGTCAGGCGGTTGATCCGTGTATAATTGATGTGCGCGTAAGTTGGCCCGGACACACAGATATAGAAAAAAAAAAGATTAAAGAAAGAAATGAAGTATCTCAATCTTTTATATGAATTCTACAATATTTGGAATATAAGATTTTACATTTTTGTTCTTTTTCCTATTTTAAATGAAATCTATTCTGATTTAATTCCTCCAGAGACATTCATGACTGAAATGTAATAACTTCTGTTTCTCCTTGTAGGAGGTTGATCAAACCACTTACAACTTTGAGAAGGAAAATGAGGCATTCTTCGAGGTTGAGGATTAGATCCATTGTTCTCACCGAGATTGTTTCCTCAATGGAGACTGAAGATTGTAAGTGGAGTTGTGAAAATGTTGAAATTATGTTGTATAATTAGACTCAAAGAGACGAAAGATGGTAATGACGTTTTTGGGAGTTTTTTTTTTTTGTAAGTTGAGTGATTATTCAACCTTACTTTGATGTCAAATACTTTAGTGAAAAGTGGTTAGTGACAAATTATCTTAATGTTTTATTTTATATTCTTAAAGTTCATTTAGGTCAAAATACACGACATGTGCTTCCTTACAAAGTAGTATTCCAACCTACAGTGACAGCACCAACAAATTCAAAAATATATATATAATATCAACTAAGTTCCAACAATAATTTTAACAAAATAAATGAGGTGATGATGATTCGTACACGAATTTATAATAGTTCGATCAACATGATTTATTTACATATGTTGTGATGATCCATCTAGGAGAACAAAAATCCTTTCACCTTCACTAAACACAAGATTAGTGACAATAAAATGGAGTAGTGACAATAAAATGGAATAGAAGTTGTAGCTCACTCTCTCAAGTTTTTTGGCTCTCACACACAAAGGAAGAAGAAAGAAAAAAAGAACTTCCTCTCTCACTTAAGTACAAGATCGTGGCCTGCTCCTGCAGTAATAGGAGCAAGTAAAATGTTAGGTAACCTTTTGCTTACTAAAAAAATTACTACCAGCCCTCATCCAATTTTTCAGCTCATGACTTTGGGCAGAGCTGAACTAGCTTCCAATTTCTTCTTTCATAGTTTGCTCCCATTTATTGTTGTTCTTCCATCTTACAGCTTCAGTGTAGGCGGATGACCCAAGTTCTGCAAGCTCATTAGTAATTGCTAGTGTATAGGCAACAAGGTTTGTTTAACCATATTTTTGTTGGCAGTCTGATGGTCCTTCTCACCCTATCTTTAATGAAGTTATAATCACTCCGACCAATTTGCACAGTCCATGTGCTTTTGATTCCTAATCACTACCATAATCCCCATCAATCTATTCAGTACTAACTTCTGGTAAGTACTTGTTGATGTGCTTGGTATGTTGTTAAGAATGACTTGCCTTTGGATTGGAGTGGGCCCTACCTCAATCTCAAATGTATCTAAGCCTTGAGATGATTCCTCTATTGATGTCTTCGATTGTGAGTATGGCATATTCCATTCATCAAATTTAACGTCTCTACTTATTATACATTTTCCTCTATTCAGTTCCAAGCACTAGAGTTTCTAGCCATTTACTCCTTCTGGATAGTCTATAAAGATACACTTTAAGGCTCTTGGATCAAGTTTTACCTTGATTTATGTGAGCATATGCAATATATCAGAAAGCTCTCAAGTGAGAAATGTCTGGTTTTACTCCACTCCACACTTTCTCAAGCATTTTAAATTCAATAGTTGGTGAAGGTGTTCTATTTATCAAATAACACGCTATGGTTGTTGCTTCCCCCCAAAATGACTTGGGCAAGTTTGATTCAGATAACAAATACCTTACCTTTTCTAAAATGGTCCAATTCATGCGTTCAGCAAGACCATTTATTGTGAAGCGTAATCAACCATTAGGTGTCTAGCAATACCATGTTTTGAACAAAAGTTCATTAAACTCTTGATTCATAAACTCAAGCCCTCTATCAGTCCTAATTTTCTTCACTTTCTTCCCAGTCTGATTTTGAAGTAAAGTAAGCCAATCTCTAAACTTTGACACAGTCTCACCTTTATGCTTCAAGAAATAAAATCATACTTTTTTGCTATAATCATCCATCCACAATGGATAGAAAGTACTTGGCTCCTCGAGTACTCACATTTGCTGGCTCCCACAAGTCTGCATGAATATAATCAAGCTTTTCTTTTGTGAAATGTATTCCTTTTGTGAATTTTATCCTATTAAACTTGCCAAAAAATGCAACGTTCACAAATAGGAAGATCACCCGCTTGCTTCAAGTTTAGAATCCCTTAATTATTCAATTCTTTCGTGTCTTTCTCACTAACATGCCCCAAACAAGTGAGAGATTTCCAGACACCACCTGACTACTCAAACATAATGCCCAGTTTTTAGCTTTCCCTTTATCTTCAACACTGAGCCTTAATATATTTTCATCTCATCATTTACTATTTTGATGGTATAGCCAAGCTTATCTAAAGTTCCAAGAGAGATAAGAGGTTTCCTTTTAAGTCAAAGACATATCTCACTGTTTGATGAGAAATTCAAATAGAAAACTTGTATTAATGAACTTGTGTTGTAATTATGCATGTAGTTTACAATCTCTAATGTATAATCCTCTGATTAATTCTCTCGGATGTAAACTTTAATTCAAGGGCTTGCGAGCTTGTTCTCGAATCAATGAGATCGATGCCTTCGACTTTTTTGCATGTTGAAGGAACTTCGAGGTCTTCGGCTGTTGAGAAAAATGATATCACTGTTGAGAAAATGAAAGTGATAAAAATAATGCGGAAGCAATAGTAAGATTATCAATATTTGATGAACAATGAGGAAATATGAAATAAAATGTGAGAGAGTAGAAACCAGTAGATGAGACATCAAATTCAAATTGAAGTGATTCAAAAATGTGAATAAACAAATGAAATAGTACAAATGTTGGTGATACAAACTTCTCATAGAATTCACCCTTAAATAGGTGTACAAAACACATAACTTACCAACATTAAAATGGAGAAACTTACCATTCATAAAAATGAAACTTAAAGATAAAAAACTAAAAATTAAATCTAATAATTAAAAGAAAGAAACTTAAAGAAATAAAAATATGAAATTAAATTTGAGTTACAAGAAAAAAACTCATAACTCAACACTCCTCCTTGAGATTTTTCTTTGTCACACCCAACTTTTGGCGTAGAAACATAAATTGTCTGTGTGGTAAAGCTTTTGTGAGAATGTTGGCAAGTCGTTCTTCAGAACTACAAAAAATGAGCTTGACTTCGCCTTATTTCTCTACTTCCCTCAATAAATGAAATTTGAATTTAATGTGCTTAGTTCTATCATGCTGTACAAGATTTGAGGCAATAGCAATAGCAGACTTATTATCACAAAATAACGTGGTAGGTTCCTCTGGTTTAAATCCCAAATCATCAAGCAATTTGTGAAGCCATATTGCTTGATTTGCAGCTGATGCAGCTGAAATATATTCAGCTTCAGCAGTAGATTGAGCCACCACTTCTTGTTTTCTTGAGTTCCAAGAGACTCCGGTGCCAAGAGAAGAAACATAGCCAGAAGTACTTTTAGAGTCATCAACACAACTAGCCCAATCACCATCAGCATATTCAATCAATTTCAAATCACCTGTACACTCAAACTAGATTCCAAAATCAAGAGTACCTTTTAAGTATCTAAGGACCCTTTTAGCAAGACCAAAATGAACTTCACTAGGTGAATTCATATATCTTGAGGGCAAACTTATAACAAACATTAAGTGGGGCTTGGATGTCATCAAATACAAGAGACTTCCTACTAACCTTCTGTAGTTTGTAGGATTAGAAAGCTTCTCACCATCATTTTTCGAGACTTTCAAATTTATTGCTAAAGGAGTAGAAACAACTTTACATGTTTCCATCTTAAATTTCTTCAAAATTCCTTGAGCATACTTTCTCTAGGCAATAAAAATACCCTTGTTTTCTTGATGGATTTCCATACCAAGAAAATATATTAATGTATGTAACCGAGATCTGACATCTCAAACATCTTTTCCATCTCAACTTTAAAATCTTGAAGCATTTGATAATCATTTCCAGTTACTAGCATATCATCAACATAAAGAGAAATAATTAGTTGATTCGAATTTTCACCAACCTTAACATAGAAAGTGGTTTCACTCAAACTCCTCCTGAAACCTTGAAAGATCAAATATGAATCAATTTTACTGTACCATGCTCGAGGTGCTTGCTTTAGGCCGTAGAGAGCTTTTCTCAGACGATATACTTTCTCCTCCTCAAGGTCACCATTCAAGAAAGCTGATTTTACATTGAGATGGAATATTTTCCACCCCAATTGTGCAGCTAAAGCAATAATCAGCCGTATAGTGTCATGTCGTGCAATTGGAGCAAATGTATCTTCGTAGTCAACTCCAGGTTGTTGTGTATACCCTTTTACCACTAACCTTGCTTTGTATTTGTTGATTGAACCATCAGAATTATACTTCACCCTGAACACCCACTTCACACCTAAAGTGTTCTTACCTCGTGGTTGGTCTACAAGCTCTCATGTATTATTTTTATTGATCATCTCCAATTGAGCTTTCATAGCAGAAATCCATTCGGTAGATTGTGAAGCTTCATGATAGCTATTTGGTTTAACAATAACAAAATTACAACTTTCATATACATCAGCTAGTGATCTTACCTTGTAATTTGAACCATCACCAGTTGCATTAACAAGATCATCATCATTCGAAGGAAGATCTTGGTGATGGGATGTGAATCCCGGAGTGGAAGTGGATCTTTGTTCATCAATTTTTGAGAAACAAAATCAAAGATTGAAAGATGAAAATACATGGGAAATATTTTTTTTTTTTTTTTACTTTTGAAGAACACTTCTTGAATGGATTAAACCAACAAACACAACCAATAGACCTTCTGTGCTATCCTCTGGGTACCGAGAACTCGCTTGTGGGAGCGTTTCTTTGGAACGAGAGAGAGAATTGAGAGAGATTGAGATGAAGAGAAAATGCTTGATGGATTTGAGTTCTGTTCTTGACTTAGCAGTTTTTTGCAAAAAACAGTCTTCCCACGTCATTTAACTCCTCACTCCCCAGCATTTTTGCAGGGGAGTTATATATATTAATTATAATATTATTTATTAATATTATTAACAAATAATAATAATTAATATATATATATAATTAATCATATTAATTAATAAATAACAAATGATTATTAATCTAATTAACAATTAATATATACATATATAAATCAAATAAATAATTAACACTTAATTATTTATTACAAAAATAGAATAATATTTTATAGCATTTCTCTCATATAACCTAAAGTTGTAATATACATCTTATGCACATTATTTTTAACCTGTAGTTTTAATATGGATCATATTCATATTAATTTTATTTGAATTTGAATCTCATTCAAATAATTTCTCTCATAGTATATAGTTTCAATTAGAATTAACTATATATTATAATGTATCACTATACATATAATCCCCTGAGCAATTTGATCATTTCAAATTTTCCAGAAACTTGATTCTCGTTCA